TTTTTTTTTTTTTAATCTGGTAGTAATATGGGCATTTTTCCTTCAGTCTATTAAAATTAGTGACATACGAAAAGTTGATCCCTTCAGAGCTTGTAAGTATTTTAACAATTGCTTTAAGGATCCATCAACTCTTATTGTTGTCGTTGTTGGTAATATTGATCATGCCCTTTTTTGCCATCTGATACTGAAGTGTTTGGTAAGTGTTGTGGATCTTTCTAATAATTTTCGGTGATTGATGTGTCTTCTCTGTTTATGAGTTTTATAAGTACTTTATCCTGGGTGGAATCCAAGACCTCCCAAGCTAATCCTGAATTTCAAACGTGATGAACTCAAAGGCTTACCATTTACTTTTCCGTCCACTGTCATTAGGTTGGTCAACCATTAGTTACCTTTTCATTTCTTGACAGTTAGGGTGCCGCTTGATAAATAATATCTTTGTCGGTTATGAATAGATAAAAGCACGTAAATTTGTATATGGATTATTACTTTTTGTCTCTACGTCCATATGCTCTATATATCTATATATATATATATATGGTTGTGCCACATTGTGTGATTATTCCAATTTGGTGTATGTGTAACCTATTGAATTGTGTGGTTTTACCTTCTCTCTTCATTATAAGTGTGCTTAATAAAATTGCCTCTCTTTGGTATTTTTTTTCAGTTTGTAGTAAGTTTTCCTGAACAGTATGATTTAAATAGTACATAAACTATAGTTTCAAAGTCTCAAATCAAACATAAGATAATTAGTGTAGAATCTGCATTAATAAAGGAAATTTGTTATTATTTGAATTGACTGAACGCAAAGGGCTAGCCAACTTTGAACCGTCAAGTAAGATTCTTTATACAAATAATTCAATGTTAATAGTTTATGCCACTTTATTCTGTGATGATACCCATATACCCATAAATCTTGAGGGTCCAACTTTTGAACAATTAAACAATCTTCTCGAATTCCCTCGAACATTTGTAAAATTCTCTCATTGCAGCAGCGGCTTTGGATCAATGGCCATGTTGCAACTTACATGAACTCTTGAAGGAAGATGAACCCAAGAAGTAACAGTCCGTGTTTAGCCAGTACATCAAGAAGGGTGTTGAAGCAGATAACACAGAGGCTTTGTACAAGAAGATACATGCAGCTATTTATGTTTGACCCCACAGAAAAGAAAATTCAAAAGCAGCCTACTAAAGAGCACAAAAGATTGAACCTGAAGAAATTGACATGCGAAGAGAGGACATCAAATGTTAGACGAGTTACTATGAAAAGTTTGAGTAATCTTTTGATTTACGACATATTTATCAAATCTTTTTTTGTGGGTTCAGGAGTTCTATAACATTTAGTTGTGCTATGTGTATGGGGATTCTTTTGTGGGTATTTTTAGCTAATGAGATGAAATATTTGACTCTTGAAAAAAAATTAAAAAAAAAAAAAGAAAAAGAAAAAAAAACCACCTTCTCGAATTGAAGCCCCTTATATGCTATTTTCCTTAACTTATATATTTGCATATTGATTATATCAGTAGCATGAAAAAAAAAAAAAAAAATCCCGCCTATATTTATTAATTAATCAGTTTATGATATAAAGTTGGAAAACTTAATAAATCCCCTTTTTAGGTTGATTTGTTATAAAATTAAGGTGATATGATTTTCAATTTTATTATATTCCTATAATAACATGTCATAAGATATTGGTGATAATTCAAAAAATTGATGTGTATTCCTCTTGAAAATCAAAAATGATTTTCAGCAAATATTAGTTAATAAAATTTAAAATTTGTAATTTAAATATTAAAAATTAGTTGATAAATTTGAACGATAGGTAACCAACAATAAATTCAGAACAATAAGAGACAATATATAATAAAGGAATTTATTGTGTACTCCGAATTTGAGTCCCAAATTTAAAAATCAATTAAGTAATTATTCATTATTTGTGGGTCAATATTAATTTGGACATAAATGTAATTGTCAATTATTTATGGTTTAGTGAAGTACTCAACTACTTTTTTTTCTTATTTGAATAGTTATACAAAAATAAATTATTATTAATTAATAAAACAACATAAGTTTTATAATTATACTTATTCTTTACATATAATTTTAAATATGTGATAAATTTTTATCCAGATATTTATTTTATGGAATTACGTTGTAGTCAACACGAATTTTTGAATAAAAATTTTAAAATAACACTTATTTTGAGATAATATAATATAATTTATAATCTGTTACATTCACTCTATGGGTTGTGTACTAATTTTGAGACATATTTTATGTAGTTTTCCAAAATTTAAATTTCATATAACATTTTCAATCATTCATATAGGTAAATTGTATCACATATTGATTCCATATTTTTGAATTATAAATTTTATTTAATGAAATTTTTATTTATAAATATTAATGGATATCTCTTACCCGGGCATCGCACGGGATTCATACTAGTATGTATTTATTAGGCTAGTTTGAGGTTTTCATGTAATTAATGAGCTCATTGAGAGCTTCCATAATAAATCAAAGTTATATTAATCAATCAATATCATTACCAAAGGTTTCAACACAACTTAAGAATTATATTAGTCAAACTATTATGGAGTTACCAAATTAGCTATTCAATATTTTTAGAATATCCGAACATAAAATTAATAATTTAGTATAATAGTATTGTTTTTTATCGAAACCAACTACCAAACATGTTTTTTTGCCAATTAGGATTCCAAAGCATGCGAGGCTGTCATTTAAACTCAACGTATTCTGCAATTATATATAGAGGGATTTAAAAAAAAATAATAATTATTCAATGGTTAAAAGTAGCTAATTTTTTTATAATAACTACTACTTATCCATAGTTAAATTATACCAATTATAGACAAATTTAATTTTCGTTCCAAAAAAAAAAAAATGTTAATCTTAGTCATAATTTTAAAAGTATTGGAAGATGTTACGGTCTCGTTACGAAATCATTCTGACGGAGTTTGTAATCGCTAGATCAATTATCCCGACAGTTACATGATGATGTAACGGTTACAAACCCCGTCGGAACGGTTTCCCAAAAGTATTTTCTAGAATTGCACTGTACAAAAATATCCGTTCACTAATTAAGCATGATTTTGGTTTTCTCTTTTCTAACAAGCGATTGGTTAGTGCACGGTCAGCCTACTTCAAAGAAAACTTCCTCTTAAAGAAACTAATGCTATAATTTTTACGCATTCCAAATAATAATTATGATTATTCTTTCTCATGACAGCCTGATATCCTTGCCTTTAGCCTTTACTAATTGGAAAAATTCTGTGTCTTAACTATAGGAATTATGATCTCTTGTCTAAAAAATGAATAATGTTCATATTTCCCTAGTGAGTTGGGCCGAGCTCAAGCTTTAACGAGCTGAGCTCGCGAGCAACTCGCTTCGTTGATAGCTTTAGTCACACCAAGTAGAGACAAGACATCGATCTTTTTTTTTTTTTTTTGTTAATTTTTTTGTTTCATTTTTAATTTATAATAAAAATAGATTTTTATTCGCATACATAAAGTATACATTATTTATGAAATTTAGAAGAAAAAATAACATTAAACTAATGCAATAGTGTTACGGATATATTATATTATAGATAATTTTTATTTTTGACCATATTAATTTGTATATGTTGCATAATATAACTTGTAAATTATGTAAGACAATGAACATAAATAAATTTATCGATATTTCCGCGATTCCGCTTAGACTCGACTAGTCGCGGTCCAAACGCCATAAGTCCTGGGCTCCAACTCGTCGTCTAACGAGCACCTAACGACTTTTATAACTAGATAGTATGTATACATCTATATACAATACCTTCTTCCATTAATTGCATACTTAAGCATGCCAGGAAAAGTTTTTTCATTCTCTAAAGAAAATCTATAATTCTTCAATGATGGTAGAGTCCAAATATCTATTAGGTTTAATAATTTAAATACACAATGCATACAAAACAACACAAAACAAGTTCAAGATTAAGATGATGCAAGAACACACATGTTACAGACAACAAAATTATTTTATTTTATTTTATTTATTTATT